AGTTTTCTCTTTAAAGATGGCACTTGCAGGTACAAAGATGCAGAGATGCCTACAGCCTTCAGATGTTTACTTGAAGAGATTCAACAGCAGTTTGATAGTGGGTTTCCTCACCTTGCTGAAGATTCACAGATTCTCTGTAATCACATTGATGTCTTTGATTTAAGTAACTAAAAAAAATTCTAGTAATCTGGCTAGGATCTGCCCAGCTAAGAGATATGCAAAGAGGACATGTCACAGGAACTATCTGAAATAAGTGATTGCTATTACAGTAATCCAGTAAATGCTGTCTGGTAAAATTTGATTTTTGACACAAGTTACAATTAAAAGTGGGAAGCCCAGAAGGACTTGTATTCTCTTTTTCTGTAGTTGTTTTTAAAGTATTCTCTGCATCCAGTGTGGGGCTCGAATTCACAGTCCTGAGATCAAGAGTCGCATGCTCTACCAGCTGAGCCAGCCAGGTGCCCCTGGACTTGTGTGCACTGGATAAGTTTCTTTGTTATCAGATGTGGATGTTTCACTCATACTGCTCCTTGAATAATTTTGAGAGATCTGGAAGTTTGGAATAATAGAAGGGACACCATATTCATCTGGATATTTCTTACAAGACTTATAATTCTTATGCAGTAGAATTTAATCTGTTTTGCACAGCATCTGTAGCTACCAGAATTCAGATGTATTTTGATGTATTTCTACTGGAAAGAGAATAAAAGTTACTTCCTAAAGGATACTAGCTTTTTTTTTTTTTTTTTTTTTTTTTTTTTTTTTTTTTTGTAGTTAACATTAACAAATCCTTTATGAAGCAGCTGCTTGGAATAACAAAAGATAATCCCTTTAACAGCTGTTGTTGTCAATTGGGTAGAATTAGAACATGACCTTTTTAGAACCCAATGAAAATATAGCAACTTTAAATTTATCTCTTGTGTTGCCATTATTAAACCTATTGAGAGGGAGTGTAGTGTTTTAGTTAAGACCGAGGCACAGGCTTTGAATTTTGGCCCCCCACTCTCTCTACCTGTTACCACATCTTTAAAATGGAAGGAACGATTGGTCTCATAGCTTTGTGGTGAGGATTAAATGAGATCACAGTAAAGTACTTCCTCCCTCAGTATATGCTGTTCATATATGAAGTGCTTGGTGTATGCTATTCAAATGATAACTTCTATAATCATAGCAAAAAATTCCTTTTTTCCAGACATCCAGAAATATATTCCATGCTATCAGCTCTTTAGGTAAGTAGCAAGAGGAAGTAAATGATCTATTGTGAAAATTATTCTGTGTGAATGAAGTAAATTTTAAAACTAACAAGATATCTTAATTGTCAGTTATACATGGTGGTACTGATAAAAATGAAAAGACTTTTTAAAGAAAATTCACTTGTTCATTTCAACCCTGTCTAATAGTTCTTTCTCTGTATTTATATGCTTGCTTTCGCTGGTCTCCACTGCCTCTCCCAGGTACCAGTTTACCTAGAGGGTTTTTCTCACACCCAGTCACCTCATTGCATATTCTAAACTCAGTGACACATTCTCATATATCAACAGCAGCCCTTTTTTCTACTCTTTCATTCCAGTTTATTTGATCATTTGTGTCCTCACTTACCATATTCTAATGTAATCTTTTGCCTGGTTAGGTTCTTTATCCAGCCTGCTTCCTATTGCCTTTCTATGGTGAAAACTTGTGTTTTTAGTCCTACAGATAGTAATAGCACTATAGCCCTAATAGGCTATGATATTTCTTAAAACTTTTCATTCAGGTATAACATACATGTAGAAAAATACACACATAAGTTAGATAAATTTTCATAAAGCAAACAACTACAACATGGTGTAGTTTTATGATTTATATCAGTTGTACTTGAAAAATCAACATTACTATCTTACAGTCACACTGTATGTACACATAGCTAAGGCTGTATAAGAACTGCAGTGGAGCGTATGGTAAAGGTGAGAAAGATCTGTGGTAGGGGATGATAGAAATAAAGGCTTTTGTGTGGTCTTAAACTGCTCTGCCAGAAAAAGCTAGAGCTTGTATAGTGTTCTACGTACAACGGACATACAGAAATATTTGTTGAATGAAGGATCCCTGGATTCTCCACTCCTTTGCCTTTTTCATTGCTTATGGATCTCCTATTTCTACCACTTTAAGTCTGTTAATTTGAGAACTTTATTCTTATTTTTAGAACTTCATATGACCAGCAAGTAGGTATATGGATTTTGGGTGGGTAAGGAGTAACTAAAGTTAAAAATGCTAATAAAATCCATATTTTTAGCCTATTTGAAATGCCTTTAATTTTGGCTTTTACAGCTTTTATAATTCTTCTGGTGAACTAAATGAGCAAGCACTGAAGAAAATATTATCAAGTGTCAAAAAGGTATTCCCTGACTTTTGGGGTTTTTTTGGTATTATATCCTAAAACTGCGTAATACTTTAACGGAAGTTTTTGGCAACATTTGTCTTCACAGTGTTCTATAAAGCAAGTGAAGAAAGAAAGGCTTTTTCCTTCCAGAAGTTCAAAGGGATTGCTCTGAGAGCAAAACCAGTCATTAAAAATATTAATCTTGTTCTCATCTTTGGCTATTCTTTTTTTTTTAATTAAAAAAAAAATTGTTTTAACTTTTATTTATTTTGAGAGAAACAGAGCATGAGCGGGGGAGGGGCAAAGAAAGAGGGAGACACAGCATCCAAAGCAGGCTCCAGGCTCTGAGCTGTCAGCGCAGAGCCCCTGCGGGGCTTGAACCCACAGACCATTGAGCTCATGACCCGAGCTGAAGTGGGATGCTTAACCGCCTGAGCCACCCAGGCACCCCACTTTCTTGACTATTCTAATTAGCATTGATCTCTTCCTCTTCCACATTCCTACCATACCCCTTCCCATACCATTTATTCCAGGACTTAACTCATTACTGTTCTTTTACGTAGCTGCAGTTAAAGCGCTTTGCTATATAGCACCTAACCTTTACTAGTATACTTGGTGTTTAGGTAAGACTTGTTGAATGATCAAAACAGGTTTTTTTCCCCCCAGATACAAAATTGGGGGGGGGGGGATGGTACTTCTTAAAACTTTTTGGTCTCTGAGTTGAGAATAAAAGTAGATTCAGTAAGTTTCTTTTAAAAAACTTCCTTTGTTGGGGCGCCTGGGTGGCGCAGTCGGTTAAGCGTCCGACTTCAGCCAGGTCACGATCTCGCGGTCCGTGAGTTCGAGCCCCGCGTCGGGCTCTGGGCTGATGGCTCAGAGCCTGGAGCCTGTTTCCCATTCTGTGTCTCCCTCTCTCTCTGCCCCTCCCCCGTTCATGCTCTGTCTCTCTCTGTCCCAAAAATAAATAAACGTTGAAAAAAAAAATTTTTTTTTAAAAAAAACTTCCTTTGTTGAAAATGCTTTGGGCTTGCCCCCTGATTATATTTGGGTATTTAAAAATGTACTTATAAAAATTTTTTAGTTTTAAAAAGGAGAAAACTTTTAATTTCCTTAGTTTAAATGTGCAGATACAAAACTTAGTTGCTGACATTGTCATACACAGACCTTTAAGCAAAGTAGTTGCTCTTTGTTATAATTACTAAACTATAATTACTAAATGAGATTTTATTTTTCCAGTTTTTAAAAAAAAAGTTTAGTAATACTAACAAATTTGTTCAGCAAATGTTACAGTTTGTAAAACCATTTCATATGATCTTACTCAATTTTGAAACCCACTTTCTAAAGGTGGTACCATTCCCATATAAATTTCAGTTAAAAGCTGTTGGGTTCAATTTATTGAGCAAACCAAATATCCATATAGGAAGTAAATTTGTTTTCACTGACATTTTCTTCATTTAAATTTTGACTAAAGACTAAGATTTTAAAATAGCAAATGATATCAAGAAACTAAAAAAAGTTAGGAATTTTTTTTCTCTATATGAGTAAAATAGTAGCTCCATAACTGAATGGAAAATAATTTGACTACACAAGTCAGTTTACATACTTTATAAAAGTAAAGTATATACTTAAGTATGTACTTTGTTTATATATGCCAAAATCTTGCTAAATTTAAGAGTGCCATTTTAAAGGTTGTCAATTTTATTGCTTAATTATGACAGTAAGACACATAATAATTGTAACCACTAAGGTCTACACCTGATATTTTTCTGTATTTTCCCTCAGGCTGTGGTTGGTTGGTACAAATTCCGACGTCATTCAGACCAGATCATGACATTTAGAGAGAGACTGCTTCATAAAAACTTACAGAAGCATCTTTCAAGCCGGGAACTGGTTTTTCTGCTGTTAACACCAAGTATAATAACAGAAAGCTGCTCTACTCATCGGCTGGAGCATGCCTTATATAAACCTCAGAAGGGGTAATGTTGGCCAGTCATTGGCTGTTTTCAGTTAATAGAAAAATATACTCAATGTTTTCATTGTACTTTTTGCAGCCTAACAAATATTTCAAATACTGTTGCATTTGTTACAATAACCCTCTGAAGTTAGTGTACCATATTTTCTTATAGATGGGGAAGATGAAGGTTGCATAAGGAAATTAGAAGCCCAGTATGGAATGATGACTTGTGTTTTTGCCACAGAGGATTTGTTATAAGGTGGAAAAAATATGTGTACTTTGGATATGGTTCCTAAAGGATGTAATATAGAACTAATCCTAGGTACTTGAGCAGCTTTTCTATAACCTCTGCAAAGAAAGAAGCAAGGTTATTCTTGGTGGTCCACCAAAATGAGTTAACAGAGACTCCCGACAGGTTATGTAAACAACATTCTCATGGGATATGAGGATTAAGTGAAAAGAGTACCAACTAAGATTAATTTTATTATTTTTTTTAAGTGAGCTTGACACCCACCCCCAGTGCATGGATTTGAACTCACCACCCTGAGATCGAGACCTGAGCTGAGATCAAGAGTCAGAGACTTAACCAACTGAGCCACTCAGGTGCCCCTAAGATTAATTTCTTTTAATGTTTACTTATTTTGGGGGGAGAGAGAGAGAGAGAGAGTATAGGAGGGGCAGAGAGAGAGAGGAACAGAGGATCTGAAGCAGGCTTTGCACTGACAGCAGAGAGCCTGATGTAAGGCTCAAACTCACGAACCGTGAGATTATGAGCTGAGCTGAAATTGGATGTTTAACGAACTGAGCCACCCTGGTGCCAAGATTAATTTTATTATTCATGGAAGACAGGATGAATCTCAACAATACTGCCTATTTTTACATGTTAAAATAGACATTACAGTCTTCTTTTAGGGGCGCCTGGGTGGCTCTGTCGACTGAGTGTCTAACTCTTGGTTTTGGCTCAGGTCATGATCCGGGGTTGTTGGATTGATCCCTATGTCGGGCTACATGCTAAGCATAGAGCCTGCTTGGGATTCTCTCTCTCTCTTTCTCTCTCTCTCTCTGTCTCTCTCTCTCTGCTCCTCTCCCCAGTTCATGCTTTCTAAAATAAAAAATTTTTTTAGAAAGGTATTGTCAATTTCACAAAATTACCTTGCACGATGCACATTTCATCACTTTTAAATACCATTTGCTTCAAGTCAATAAATTTTATCTCAGGTAAGTAGTATGGAATGGGGTTTTTGTTTATTTTTTTATCTTGTAGGCGAAAGGTATTCTATATATAATATGTATAAGTATATATAGGTATATAATAAGGAGAGGTTAATATTTTACTTTATTCTAACTTTATATTTTAAAATTTTATTATTTCAGACTTTTTCACAGGATACCATTAGTGGTGGCCAATCTGGGCATGTCTGAACAACTGGGTTATAAAACTGTATCAGGTTCCTGTGAGTCCACTGGTTTTAGCCGAGCAATAAAAACACACAGGTGAGATTCTTCAGCTGCTTTCCCACTAAATTTCTATTCATTTTTTGAAATTAATTTTTATTACACAACAAAATAAAAAAGGAAAAGTAATAACCACATATTTCAAATAAACTAGACTATTTTTTACTGTTTCCGTATTTCTTTCTAGCACTTGGCCATTTATAATACACAGAAAAGAGAAGGGTTGTTGTATATCCTGTGTATGTCAACATATATATTC